ATTGTAAACTTTACCCTGCCGTATGTACCTATCCTTATCCATGACTATCGTGAAAGAAACAGAGTTATGATCGCTACCACCAAAATGCTCTCCTACCAACAGGTAGGAGACTTGGCCCGGTTCGTTGCCAAGCACCAAATCCAAAGTGGCCTCTCCTCGTGTTGGTCTATCTACGTACTGTGTCAGGAATCCTTCCTGAGCGCACTGGACAAAATCTGCTCCATCTAAACTATTACAACTAAAATGTTTCCAATCAATACTTGGAAAGTTGAAGTCACCCATGACTACAACCCTGTGACTTCTGCACCCTTCCAGTATCTGCCTCCCAATCCGCTCCTCTACTTCGCTGCAACTATTAGGGGGTCTGTAAAAAAACCCCAACAAAGTGACTGCTCCTTTCTTATTCTTGACCTCAACCCAAACGGACTCTGTAGACATGTCATTCTTGAACTGCCTTTCAGTAGCTGCTATACTCGCCCTGACTAGCAATGTCACTCCCCCACCTCTTTTTCCACCCTCCCTATTTCTTTTAAATCATCTAAATCCTGGAATTTCCAACAACCATTCCTCTCCCTGAGTTACCCAAGTTCCAAGTACCAACCCATGCTCTAAGTTCATCCGCTTCATTTCTGATACTTCTCGCATTGAAGTATACACACCTCAAACCATCTCGGTGTCCACAATTACGCTCCATCGACCGCATTTCTTTATAAACCACCTCACTCCCTGTTGTATCTGTTGGAAGGCCGAATACCTCATCCTCTGAATTATAAATCCGGTTTCCCACCCCCTGCCAAACTAGTTTAAACCATCCCGTACAGCTCTAGCAAACCTCCCTCCCAGGATATTTGTGCCCTTCCGGTTCAGGTGCAACCCTTCCTTACTGTACAGGTCCCACCTTCCCCAGAATGTGCTCCAATTATCCACATAATGGAAGCCCTCCCTCCTACACCAGCCCTGCAGCCACGTGTTTAGCTGCGCTCTCTCCCTATTTCTTACATCGTTATCACGTGGCACTGGTAGTAATCCATAGATAACCACCCTGTTTGGCCTGGACTTCAGCTTCCAACCTAACTCCCTGTACTCGTTTTTCACATTCTCAGTCCTTTTTCTATCTATGTCATTGGTACCGATGTGTACCATGACTGCTGGTTGCTCACCCTCCCCCTTAAGGATCTTGAAGACATGATCCGAGACATCACGGACCCTGGCACCCGGGAGGCAACGTACCATCCTTTCATCTCGTTCGCGTCCACAGAACCACCTGTCTGTGCCTCTTACTATTGAATCCCCCACTACAATTGCTCTCCTATTCTCCCCCCTTCCCTTCTTTGCCACAGGGCCAGGATCAGTGCCAGAGACCTGTCCGCTCTGGCCTTCCCCGGTAGGTCGTCCCCCGCAACAGTATCCAAAACGGTATACTTCTTATTGAGGGGAACGGCCACAGGGGATCCCTGCACTGTCTGCCTGTTCCCTTTCCCCTTCCTGACAGTCACCCAGCTTCCTTTTTCCTGTACCTTGAGCGTGACCACCTCCCTGTAACTCCTCTCTATCACCCCCTCAGCTTCCCGAATGATCCAGAGTTCATCCAGCTGCAGCTCCAGTTCCGTAACACGGTTTTTGAGGAGCTGCAGTTGGGTGCACTTCTCGCAGGTGAAGTCAGAGGGCACACCCGCAGTGTCCCTTACCTCCCACATCCTGCAAGAGGAGCATGCAACTGCCCTAGCTTCCATTCCCTCTACTCTAAATTTCCAGAAGAAGAATAAAAAAAAGCCTTACCTTACTGAACCTCCACACAGTCTTTTTTGGTTAGAGGAGGAGGATGGGTGGGAGACACTACACGTATAGTATTTCAGGTTTAGCCAATGCCCGAATTTATCTGTTTCTTCCTGGCTCGCGTTCCCTCCACTCACCCGCCGCTGAAAACGAGAGGGCCGCTTGCTGCACGAGGTAAGTTTTTATACAGGGAGAAACAAAAACCTCCATACCTTCCCGTCGGCACTCTGGCTCGCGCTGCTGCCGCTGAAAACAAGAGGCTATGTGGTATACTGTATTCGCTGTTCCCGTTGTGGTCTCCTCTACATCAGGGAAACCAAGCGGAGGCTTGGGGACCGCTTTGCAGAACACCTCCGCTCGGTTTGCACTAAACAACTGCATCTCCCAGTCGCGAACTGTTTCAACTCCCCCTCCCAGAATACTGCCTGGATTACAGGATATGAGCTATAAGGAGAGGCCAGGAAAACTAGGGTTGTTTTCTCTGGAGCAGCGAAGGCTGAAGGGAGACTTGACAGAAGACGATAAAATTATGAGTTGCATAGATAGAGTTGACAATCAGAATCTTTTTCCCAGAATTGAAATGTCTAATACTAGGGGCATGCATTTAAGCTGAGAGGGGGAAAGTTCAAAGTCGATGTGAGGGGCAAGTTCTTTTACACAGTGTCTGGAATGTGCTGCCAGGATTGGTGGTGGAGGCAGATACAATACGGGTGGTTAAGGGACTTTTAGATAAGCAATGAATATGCAAGGAATAGAGGGATATGGACCAAGAGCAGGCAGAAGGGATTAGTTTAATTTGCCCTCATGTTTGGAACCATATCGTGGGTCGAAGGGCCCATTCCTGTGCTGTACTGTTCTATGTTCCAATCTGTCTGTGTATCAGTGTTCCTAAGGGTCTAGCCATTTACAACATACATTCCTCTTACAATTGACCTCCTAAAATGCATTACCTCAGACTTCTATGGATTAAACTCCAACTGCTATTTTTCTGTCCCATTTTCCAGCTGATCAATCCTTTGATATCCTTTCTGACTATCCACAACTCCACCAATTGGCAGCAGATACATCACCAATTGCAAGCTTGTCTTCGAGTAGCACACCATTCCTGCTTTATAATTTTATTGCTGTCCCTTCACTGTCACTGGGTGAATATGCTGCAACTCCCTCCCTAACAGCATTGTGTGTGTGGATACATCACATGGACTGCTTCAGTTAAAGAGGTGACCATCTTCTCAAGGGCAGTTAAGGATAGACAACAAATGCGATGCCCACCTCCGATTGAAATAATTTTTAAAATCTAATTAGTCCCAACACCACTGCTGTTTCCTCATTGCCTTACACATAGCAGACTGGTACAAAAGGTAAAGTCACATGGTATCAGGGGTTAGTTGGCAAGATGGATACAGAACTGGCAGCCATAGGAGACAGAGGGTGATGGTGGAAGGATGCTTTTCAGAATGGAGTGTTGTGACTAGAGATGTTCCACAGGGATGAGTGCTGGAACCTCTGCTGTTCGTGGTCTACATCAAAGATTTGGAGGAAAATGTGGCTGGTCTAATTGGTAAGTTTGTGGACAATACAAAGATTGGTCGAGCAGTGGATAGTGAGGAGGCTTGTCAGAGGATATAACAGGATATAGATCAGTTGGAAGCATGGGCAGAAAAATGGCAAATGGTGTTTAATCTGGACAAATGTGAGGTGATGCATTTTGGAAAGTCAAGTACAGGTGGAAATTATAGAGTGAATGGCAGAATTGTTAGGAGTATTGACGTGCAGAGGGATCTGGGTACACAGGTCCACAGATTACTGAAGGTGGCAGCGTAGCTAGATAAGGTAGTAAAAAGGGCCTTTATTGGAATGGGCATTGAGTATAAGGATAAGCAAGTTATGCTGCACTTTATAGAACTTTAGTTAGGCCACACTTGGAATATTCCATACAATTCTGGTCACTACACTACCAGAAGGATGTAGATGCTTTGGAGAGTTTACAGAAAAGGTTTACCAGGATGTTGCCTGGGGGATTTTAGCGATGAAGAAAGGTTGGATTGACTGGGTTTGTTTTCACTGGAACGCAGGTGGTTGAGGGACGACCTAATACAAGTTTGTAAGATTGTGAATGGCATGGATAGAGTGGAAAGTATGAGGCTTTCTGGCAGGGGTCAGTTACTAGGGGATACAGGTTCAAGGTGCAATGAGGTGGGTGGGTGGGAGTTTAATAGGGATGTACGAGGCAAGATTTTCACACAAAGGGTGGTGAGTGCCAGGAATGTGTTGCCAGAGGAGGTAGTGGAAGCAGGAACAATAGCTCCTGATGAATACATGAATAGGAAGGGAATAGAAGGATACGAACCCTGTGAGTGAAGATGTTTTTAGTATGGAAGGGCAAAATGTGTCGGTGCAGACTTGGACGGCCAAATGGCCTGTTCCTGTGCTGTATTGTTCTTTGTTCTTTGTTTATTTTTTAGTATCTATCCAGTTCCCTCGATTGTTACCATTGTAATCAATGGTCACCACACTTTCAGGCATACTTTCCAGCTCTCAACTCGCTGCATTAAACTTAATTTTTCTCATCTTCCGACTGAATATTTTGCCAATCGGCTTGAATCCTCTGTGACCTTCCATAGAAATATTTTTTCCTCTGTTAGCTGCATGAAAATCCCTTATAATTTTGAATGCTTTTATCAAATCTCCCCTTACCTTTCTGTGCTCTAAGAACATTTCCAACTTCTGCAATTTCTCCACGTAACTGAAGCTTTTCATTCCTTTTTTTCCCCATTACTGCAGTAAATTCCTTGCCAGCTTAGCCAAGGCCCTCACTGAAATGTAGTGCCCAGAACTGGGGACTGTGCCTCATCTGAGACCTAATTAGTGTTTTATAAAGATTTTTCATAATTTCCTTGCTTTTACACTCAATTATTATTGTTGATTCAATCTCATAGTGTCTTTACCCCCACACTTCCCAGTGGAGCATGCACATCAGTAAGTCTGTGTCAGACTCAAATGAGACCTTCCAAAGATCTGCCTATCGCTTCAGTCGTTCACCTGATGAGGTGTTTGAGCAATGTAGCCAATTGCCTGCAGGGTGCTGGTTTCTTTACTGATGTCATAATAATGTAAAAAAAAAAGTGAGAATGGGAGAAATAAATTGAAAGGAACCTGTGAAGGATTTCTTTAGATCCGAGTCCACCTGTCGTTATTGTACTAACTTAAGTGTTTTTTTGTAGGGAAACCCAACAGCAACATCCAGTGGGACGACAGCAGTGTAGATGTGGCATCAATCCAGACCCCTGTAAGAATTGTATATGTGCTCGTCGTTCATGGTAGAGCCATCAGGCAGCTCAAGCGACTGATCAAAGCCATCTATCATCAATATCATTTTTATTACATCCATGTGGACAAGGTTGGTGCTCCTGCATTCCTGATAGACGAAAGTGCCCTGGTCACTGGTTGTTTTTATACTGAAAAACTCATCTACGTATTGCATATTTTGGACTAAAAGTTAAATGGTACTGACATGATTTCAAACATGAACACAAATTAGAAAGGACAATCATGAAGCAAGGTGAAATTGGAGAAAAGGGGTATCAAGCCCGTGGAATAATATATGGAACTTGGAAGGGGGTTACAACAGGTTCATTAAAATGATAACAGACTAGGCTGTACATCTCTGAATTTACATGGTTAATCTGATAGCAGTGTTTAAAATACTAAATGAATTGGGGAAAAAAAAACTCCAGAGTCTAGTGGCACACAAATTTAAAATTAGAACCAGATAGTTCAGGAATGAAATAAGAAAGCATTTTCTCACACGGTAGTGATAATCTAGAATTCTCCTTGAAAAAGCTGGGAATGCTGAGATTAGATGAAATTTTGAAGATTGCATTCTTTAAACCTTTGTTGGGTAGAAGTATCAAGTAATATGAAGTAAATGGCAGATAAGTGGAATTAAAATCACAATTAACCATGATCTCAGTGAATGGCATTATAACCTGGAGAAACAGAATAACCTGCTTCTATAGTTCCACTGTAAAATAGCATTCAAGAGAGGATATTGAAATGGGGAGTAAATGAGTTTCAAGAGAGTGTAAAACTGGAGAAATATGATGGCCCAGATCACTTGAGGAAAACAACTGGATTGGTGGTCCACTCAAACATTTCTCCAATTGACACAGCCCTGTATTTCTTCTAAGACATGCCAAGCATGGTTTTTTTCAGAAATATGGAGCATAGCATCCATCAGGGAACTCTGTCAAAGCTCAGGAATGTAGGAAACATGGGAATGGAAGACTTAAGAGCAGGAGTAGGCCATTTTGTCCTTCAAACCTGGTCCACAATTCGACAAGCTCATAAGATGCTGTCAGGTATCTTGGAAAGATACCAGCTAAAGAAAATGACATCTAATGAAGGCATAAAAATGTTACCAAAAGAAGCCGATTACAGCTGTGAGCAAGAAGTCTTAGTGTGGAGATAGTGTTGTCTCTTAATTGAGGTTTGGGTAATTGTAAAGATATTGCTGGAATAAAGGGAATAGTGTAAATTTGAAGCTTTTTGAAGTGTTTTTAATGAAGTCTTTCTCAGCTATTTTTGTCTAGTATAATCTAGTTTATTAGTTTCCTTAAACAAAAAAAAAACAACTTCCACAGTTACCTGGACTATACATCTTCACACCCCATTTCCTGTAAAGACACCACTCCATTCTCCCAGTTTCTCTCTCTCTCTCTCTGTTCTGATGATGCAACCTTCTACAGGGGGGCCTTAGAAATATCCATTTTCCTCAACTGAGAATTCTCCACCACTGTTGTTGACACGGCCCTGAACCGTGTCCCACCCATTTCCCATACTTTGGCCCTCACGCCTTATTTTCCTTCCCTAAACACCAGAAGGGTCCCTGGTGCTCACTGTCCATCCCACCAGCATCCAAATCCAAAGGATCATAAGCTGCCATTTCTGTCACCTCCACCAGTTTGCTGTCACGAGATAAATATTCTGCTTCTCCATTTGTCAGCCTTCTGTTGGGACCGTTCCTCTGAGACATCCTGGTCCACTCTTCCTCCACTCCCAGGACGTCCCCACACCCTCATAGCACCTTCCCATGCAATCACAGAATGTGTAACACTTGCCTGTTTAAATCCTTCCTCCTTGCTATCCAAGGACCTGGACACACCTTGCAGGTGAAGCAGCGATTTGCCTGCACTTCACTCAATCTAGTCTACTGTATTCAGACCTCACAATGTTGGTCACCTTTACCCTGGGGAGGTGAAATGTGACTGAGCTTTGTGGAACACCTATGTTCTGCCTGCAAAAAAGACCTTGAGTTTCCAATTGCCTGCCAATCCTGGCCAATATCTCTGTCATGGGCTTGCTGCAGCGCTCCAGTGAAGTTCAGCGCAAGCTGGAAGAATGGCATCTCATTTTCCGATTGGGGACCCTGCAACCTTCAGGACGGAATATTGAGTTCAATAATTTTAAGGTTTTTGCCCCTTCTTCCATGTCCTTTTCCTACTACACACACCAGGTCTTGTCATCACATGGGCTACTTTCATCACAGCCGGCCCGTTTTCACCGTCAACAGTTCTTCATTCTCCCCAGCCATTGTGGGCGGCATGATGTCTCAGTTGTTAGCACTGCTGCCTCACAGTGTCAGTTATCCAGGTTCAATTCCAGCCTTGGGTGAAGTTTGCACATTCTCTCCCTGTCTGCAATGGTTTCCACTGGGTGCTCCGGTTTCCTCCCACAGTCCAATCATGTGCAGATTAGGTGGATTGGCCATGCTAAATTGCCCCATAATGTCCAGCAAAGTGCAGGTTAGGCAGATTAGCAATGGTAAATGCAGGGTTATGAGAATAGGGTAGTGTGCTTGGCCTGGGTGGTGTACTCTCCGGAGAGATCTGTGTTGATTTGATGGGCCGAATGGCCTCTTTCTGCATTGTAGGGATTCTGTGATTCTATGAATCCTTTGTTTGGACTACTGCTAATCTGTCTCTTCCTGGCCTCCCCCTCGACCCAACCCCCCAACCTCCACCCTGAGTTCAACGTGTGTACCAATGTTTTCCTCGCTACAATCAGTTCTGAAGAAGGGTCACTGGATCCAAAAAATTGACTCTGCCTTGTCTCCACAGATGCTGTGAGACCTGCTGAGTTTCTCAGCTATTTCTGTTCTTTTTTTGTTTAATAAACCTTTTATTCTTCATGTTAGGTGTACACAGTGGCAGCTACTTAACAATATATTTAGTAACTGATCTCCACAAGTTAAAAAACATATTGGTTAGGATTGAACAAATTCAGTTTCAGTCTGAGATCTGTCTGTTTAGTCGTAACTTTAGTTCAAATTGTAACATTTGTTCTCATTTCTAAAATCTTATCCACTATTGATGGTAAACTGACTGGACTGATTATTAGGAATTTATTTAAACTCTTTATTGCATGTACCACTCTTGAAACCTTTGGAAGCTCCTCAATAGCTAGGGAATATTAGAAAATTGTACAAAGCCCTACCACAATCTTCATTTTCACTTCCCATTTTCCTAGGGCAACCAGCCGGACAAGTGCCTTATCCACTCTAGGTGTATGCTACCTTTCCAGAACGTCCTGCCAATCATTTTCACCACGTCGGTACCTTTACCATTACTGCTTCTACCAATACTTTGTCAATATCCTGTTCCTCAGTAAATACAAAGGCAACATAATCATTTAGTATTGTAGATTGCCTGCATCTCGAAGCATATATCAACTTTTTGACCCCAAGGGGCCATATCCTGCTGCTTAGCACCAAATAATTATTTAGATGCCAGTAAGAGATTTTTGGGTTCCCTTTAATGTTAACAGCCATTCTATTCTCTCATTCTTCCTTTGCCAGTCTCACTTCCCTCTTCACGCCAGATGATGGAATTTGAGTTCGATAAATGTCTGGAATTATGAAACTATTGTCAATGTCGGGAAAAGTCAACTGGCTTACTAATGACCTTAGGGGAAGGAAATCTGCTGTCCTCATCTGGTCTGGCCTACATATGACTCCAGACCAACAACAATTTGGTTGACACTCATCTGCCCTCTGAATTGGACTAGCAAGCCACTCAATTGCTTCAATCACTATGAAGTCTCGAAAAAAAGGGAATCGGATGGACCATGTAGCATCGACCAAGGCACCAGAAACGACAATGGCAGAAACAGCCCTGTTAACCCTGTAAAGCCCTCCTTGCTGGTATCTGGGTGCTAGTGCCAAAATTGGGGAAGCTGTCTCATAGAATAGTCAAGCTACAACTGACATAGTCATACTCACGGAATCATATCTTACAGACAATGCCCCCAAACACCACCATCACCATCCCTGGGTATGTTCCACTGACAGGACAGACCCAAGAGTCATAGAGTCATATAGCATGGAAACAGGCCTTCGGTCCAACTAGTCTATGCCGACCACGTTTCCCAAACTGTACCAGTCCCACCTACCTGAGTTGGTGGCACGGTGGTATACAGTCAGGAGGGAGTTTCCTTGAGAGTCCTCAACATTGACTGTGGACACAATGAGGCTTTATGACACCAGGTCAGACTTGGGCAAGGAAATCTCTTGCTGATTACCATGAGACATCCTCCCCTGGCTGATGACTCTGTGCTCCTGTAAGTTGAACAACACTTGGAGGAAGTTCTGAGGGTTTCAAGGGTGCAAAATGTACTCTGGGTGGGGAATTTTAATATCCACCATGAAGAATGGCTCATCGGCAGCGCTACTGATCAAGCTGGTCTGGTCCTAAAAGACATTGCTGCTAGACTGGGTCAGTGGCTAGTGGTGAGGGATAAATTGGACTTGGCCTCATCCTCACCAATCTGCTGACCACAGATGCATCTGCCCATGACAGTATTGGTAAGAGTGACCATCGCACAGTCCTTGCGGAGACGAAGTCTCACCTTCATATTGTTAATACCGTATCACCGTGCTAGATTGGACTTCGAACCGATCTAGAAACTCATGCTGGGCATCCATGAGGTGCTGAGGACTGTCAGCACCAGAATTGTATTCCAACACAATCTGCAAACTCATGGCTTGTCATGTCCCCCACTCAACCATCAAACCAAGGGATCAAGCCTGGTTCAATGAAAAGGGCAGGAGGGCATGCTAGGAACAGCATCAGACTTACCTATAAATGAGATCAATCTACCAGACAGGACTACGTGTATGCCATAGCATAAGCAGCAAGTGATGGATAGAGTTAAGCAATCCCACAAGCAAGGGATCAGTACTAAGCTCTGCAGTCCTGCCACATCCAGTTGTGAAGTGTAGTTGACAATCAATTGAAAAAGGAGGTTCCACAAACATCCCATCCTTAATGATGGGAGAGGCCTGTCCAACGGTGCAAAAGATAGGGCAGAAGCATTTGCAACAAACTTTGGCCAGAAGTGTCG